ACTCTATTAGCAGTGGACTATGTATCGTAGACCAAAATAACCTTATTGGTTAAACTCTTCTATTATAAGTTCATTGATGTTAACAAACCGAAGTATTTATTGCGTAAAGGCAAAACAGAATTTACTCATTAATTGCCTCGTTTTTTAATATTGGGTTACAATGAACTAAATTTGGGTGGCATTTTTGAGTTTAAATTACTTATCGCGTTTAGACGTTTCACAACTCGTAATTCAAGCTGTCTGCTAAAATGACTTATTTGGTATTTTTAAAATTATGACGAGAGTACTCTTTCCTTTGAGGGTTCTTTTTAAAGAACAATTAAAGGGAAGAATTTAAAACAACCAAAATGTCCCGTTTCAAAGTCAAATCCGCCACAATTTAATAATAATCTGCCCTTCTAGATTTGATAATCCAAGTTATGTCATAAGACCAGTACTATGTAGACAATAGTTTAAATTATGGTGAGATATTGCAACCGTATGCATTTCACGAAAGAAATGCAAAGTTGTCAACAAAATGCTATAATGTCACTATCAAGTCTCATTAAATGTCAATAAATGTGACAAGGCCAAAATTACCAGCACATCATAAATAAAGAAGATTTTTCTAAGAAATTTTCTCACAAAATTTAGAATGAATTCCATCTGAGTAATTCCATGGTTTCAATTTTAACGTTTTGTATAATGATAAATGTTATAATAAAAATATTTTAAGTAAATTGGATATCGAAGCGAGTATCGATTGACTCATCGTGATAAGCGAATTAAAAATGGCGTAATACGTTGCATAAAATATTATGTCGGAACTAACTTACTCTCTCTCGGGAGATTACCAATATTTCCCCAGCTTGTTCCAGTGTATGCATACGAAGGACGTTCACCGAGACACAAGCATTTGCCAGAGATGAGGATGAAATTTCTCGAAACAATCGCTCCACCGCAATTTCCCACAGTTGCCATGAAGGGTGCCTTTTCGATGGACATAGGATATTCAATTAGGAGACAAGAAGCCATCCCTAGCCCTGAAGCCAGTACAAAGAAAAGTAGAGATTGCATTGTTTGCAACGTGAGTAAACTGTAAAGGTGGTTTTCGAACTTGTGCGAATGCTTTTATAATGGGAGGAGGTAAGAAGACAACCAATCAAAAGTCAGATTGTTTAGGGATTTACTGGACGCCTACTAACGTGGAGACGCCCACACGCTTATGCTTGTATGGCAATATTGGCCAGTAAAATGCTTGAATTCCTTGAATATTAAGTTGCTCCGTTGCAATCGAATTGTGTGAAAGCAAATTTTCCATAGTTGATCCAATTTTATACCATAAATAACCATAATGGAATAATAACTTTCTATAAAATTCAAAATAGAATAGGGGGAAAGAATGGCTAATTTATTGGAAGAGACATTACCTTATATCTAGATGGCGAACAAAAGAAAAATCTCTTTGCATAAAAATATGTGTTTGTGGAAAATGAAATTTATGCAACCGAACTTACAAAATGGACTTCGATTTACCGTTAAGCTTACTAAGGTTGATTCGTAGCAATTAATTTATTTCAGTAAGTGTGCGTGTGTAAGTAAGGTCTAAAACAATTAAGGTGATGATGAAAGCCAATGAAGGATTAGGAATATTTATATGGTATTCAGTATGTATTAATTGTAGCTTAAAAGCATATATTGGGTTGATGAAGTTTTCTGCAAGGAAACCTACAAGTTAAACTCAATTAAGATTGATTGTAGCGATCTACTATTATAAGTTCTTTTGCATCAACTGTACCTAATTGCAACCTTTAAAACTAAACCATAACCGCATCAAATTCTTCCTACATCCTAACAAAAGGATAACAACTTCTGCATATCAAACCAAAGCACTTACTTCATTCTTGAATTTAACCATGATGGGGTGTACGATAGACTTACCTCCACGTGGTGCACCCTGGGCAACGTATACTCATACGGCAAAAAGGTTTATTAACCGGCAGTTAATTTCTGACTTCAAACTACCATCACCCCAATGTATGTCATAACCGACCACTTCCACAGTGCCCACCCTACCTCTTTCTCTCTACCTTTGTGTTTGTCTCTTTTACATCTTTGAACCACTCTTCGGTTCGCCAGTCTCGTCTTTATTAGAAAAACACAAATAAAATAAAGCCATAAATTGTAGTGGTGCGAACAAGCATGGATATAATTCAATTGGTTAACGAGATCTTATTTCGTAGATAACATCGTCTCCCACGTGGAAATAAAAACAAGCACCACGACTGAAGTTTGCAAAGCTTCTTGCTGTGCGATCGGTAAAAAGAGCCTAAAGAGAGATACTTTTGATACAAAGAAAAATATTTCTCACTTTCTAACTAATTAACTTTTCCCCCAACCTATGCTTGGATGCTTTCACGTGGTTGAAAAGTAGAAGATTGAGAGATAGATTTACTTCCACGTGGTGCACCCTGGGCAACGTATACTCATATGACAAAGGGTCTATAAACAGAAATTGACTTCCGACTTCAAACCACCATGATCCCATTGTATGCCATATTCTATCACTTCCACAGTACTCAACTTGCCTTTTCTCTGCCTTAATGTCTGTCTTTTTTACATCTTCGAAACACTCTTCTGTCCCCCCCCCCTCTTCTCGACTTTTTTTCACTTTGATGTTCCTCTCATCTGTGAAGTCTGAAGTCAGCTAAAGGGCTACTGGTAACTATCAAACGCCTGCTATTTGTTATAAATGAATAGCACTTAAAAAACACTGAAAAAGCAATTTAGTATGACTGGAACAAAACACGAAGTGGATATGATCACACAAATATTGCCGACTACATTCTTACAAAATTAGCATAAAGATGAAAATTGAATAGTAAAGATAGACCATGCCCAAGAGGGTATAAAGTCCAATTAAAAAAAGAAGAAGAACGGAATAGTATTTAAAGACGACATAAACAAGTCTAATAATAGGTGGAGTGTTGATAGATAAATGAACGTGAATGTCTAGCACATCATGAGGTACTGTAACCAACCATATTAATTACACAGGGGGGGGGGCTCTTGGAAGCGCTATTCTGACGGTCAAAGACGAGTATTGAAGGCGTCTTGAAAACATAATTACAATTACTACATGGCCATAACAATGACCGAAAAACCACTTGAAGAGTCCATACTCAATTAACAACAAGAGTGGAATAGAAAAAGTTTAGAGAAAGAAGGCATTACAAAATCCCTATTGGGTAAAACTTGTTATAGGAAACAGTAAACGACGGTTTGAGCTGGCAACCACATTCAGCTGAATCATGGTCTTGAATGTTGTAAGCGATCAATTGGACTGAATAAAGACATGCAAAGACATTTTGAAGCCTCAACAAGATTTACCGTAAGAATCATTACGAATAATAAGTGTCACCGCAAAATCTGAAGTTGCTTGAATTGGAGACTCTGAAAATTCCAAAATCCGCTGTTTAGGCTGCATGATACAAAGAAAAGTGATTCGCCCAGGTATTTTCGAGTTGGAAAAAGGTGAAATTGACATCTAAAATGCCAATCCTTACCAATAGTCCTACACTGTTTAGGTTTAGTAAAACAAAAAAAAACAAAATCAAACATTAACCATTCCAAGCACAATAAAAGGGACAAAAGGAAAGAATGGCATTGAAATCGATTGGATTTGGAGAAAAAGCTACCTAGACCTTCAACAACCGCTGTCTAAGTTGGACCAGAAGTGTAACTCCTTCGAATTAATAATACAATAGAGGAAAGAAAGAGCAATAATTTTGAGGAAATGGGGTAGACAGAAGTTAGAAATTCATTAGGGAGAGAAAGCAATCTGTTTTGTGTGGAGACTAATGCAGCTAGTAATAAATACGGTTTACCAAATTGGAAAGACACAAATGTCAATCAGCAACGATCAAATAGATGGACACTTAAAGAGGTGTATTCAAACAGGATTTGGAAAGTATACTTCACATAGCAATCCTGTGATTGAGGACAAACAATGGAAATTATAAGCAAACTGATAATTAACTTTTGTCACTTCTTCGGGGATATAAATTTTCCCAATTAGACGGAAAATGCCAAGGCAGTAAAAAATTCAATAATATTTCACTTTTTTTGAAAAATCACAAACTTTTTACACCCATACTACCTCAGTGTAGGAAATGTCATCTGAACTAACGGCCAGTGAAAGTCCCCAAATTCTTTTTCCTAAAATCATTGGTCATTAATACCTGACACACCCATAATTATCACCAAATCGATTATCGATTAATCCGGGGTGTGCGATAGAATTACCTCCACGTGGTGCACCCTGGGCAACGTATACTCATACGGCAAAAAAGTCTATTAACCGGCAGTTGACTTCTCACTTCACAAAAAAGTCTATTAACCGGCAGTTGACTTCTGACTACTCAAACGGCAAAAAAGTCTATAAACCGGCAGTTGACTTCTGACTGAAAAGGTCTATTAACTGGCAGTTGACTTCTGACTTCAAATAAAAGTCTATCAATCGGCAGTTGACTTCTCACTTCAAACTAAAGTCTATTACCTGGCAGTTGACTTCAAACTACCATGAGTAAGTCTATTAACTGGCAGTTGACTTCTGAGTTCAAACTATCATGACCCCAAGTCTATTAATCGGCAGTTGACTTCTGACTTCAATTACCATGATCTATTAACTGGCAGTTGACTTCTATGTCTATTAACTGGCAGTTGACTTCTCACTTCAAACTACCAAATAAAAAAGTCTATTATTCGGCAGTTGACTTCTGACTTCAAAGCGGCAAAAAAGTCTATAAACCGGCAGTTGACTTCTCACTATCGGCAAAAAAATTCTATTAACCGGCAGTTGACTTCTGACTTCAACGCAAAAAGGTCTATTAACTGGCAGTTGACTTCTCACTTCACAAAAAAGTCTATTAACCGGCAGTTGACTTCTGACTACTCAAACGGCAAAAAAGTCTATAAACCGGCAGTTGACTTCTGACTGAAAAGGTCTATTAACTGGCAGTTGACTTCTGACTTCAAATAAAAGTCTATCAATCGGCAGTTGACTTCTCACTTCAAACTAAAGTCTATTACCTGGCAGTTGACTTCAAACTACCATGACAAGTCTATTAACTGGCAGTTGACTTCTCACTTCAAACTAACAAGTCTATCAACCGGCAGTTGACTTCTGACTTCAAACTACGTCTATCAACCGGCAGTTGACTTCTCACTTCAAACTACCAATCAGCCCGACTGCTTGTCATATTCAACCCCTTCAACAGCACTCGCCCCACTGTATGTCATATTCGACTACTTCCACAGTACTCGCTGACTCCATGTCATATTCGATCATTTTCACAGTACTCACCACTGTGTGTCATAGTTGACCACTTCTACAGTATTCACCTTACCCTACTCTCTATTATTGTGTGATTGCTTGTCATATTTGGCCCCTTATTCTCTACCTTTGTGTCTGTCTGCCTTTTTAACATCTGTGAATCGCTCTTCTGATCCCCACCCCTCGACTTTCTGCTACTTTGATGAACCTTCCTTCTGTGAAGCCCGAAGTCAGCTAAATGGCTAATGATAGCTATCAAAGCGCCTGTCATTTGAAATTATCGATTAATCTTAAGTTTTCCACCAGCCTCAAAGCAAATTTCACCCTACTCTATCTAGATCTGATTCATCCTTCCACGCGAATCATTTAACTCCTGTACCCTGAACTTCCCCTTCAACTCTCAAAACCGTTTCGGAAAGCGTTACCCAGAACACATTTTGATCGCAATTACAACATAATAGAGCCATCTTGGTGCGAAACTCGAATTTCGACACACACACACACATTGTTTACCATAATTAAACAGTCCTGTTAGCAATTCTGGCCACTGGATGTGCATAGATGGGTTGGAACCTAATAATCCCTGCAGTGGGAGACAAAGGAGGCTAGCTGCAGTGCCAATGGCATAGCGAAATTTGTTCTCCACTAATATAAGTTTCCTTTTATTCCCCCTCCCCTCCCCCCCCCAGTCAGTTCATAGAATGCGATGAAGAAATTTGGAGAAAAGTTGGGAGATGGAAGATAAGGCAAAATACAAAAGGCACTCACTGTAAGGAGATTGAGTAGTTTCATTGAGAGATCTGCCCCAAAGTTCGAGTACTTGGCATCTGTCATGTCGTAGATGACGGTGACGCCTTGTTCCTGTGTTTGTTCGCTGTTAAAAGGAGAGAGAGAGAGAGAGGGAGAGATGAATGACAGGTGAATCATGGGAAAGCTAAGAGAGAGAAGTAAGGTTAATGACAGACGACAAAAGGTAGGTGCGTGGGAATTCACACGTGAATTGCCTGAATGTGAATGCCAATTTTGTTTATACAAATAGTAACATCCGGTTATTGGTCATTGTGATGCAAGAGCACTTTCAATTTGTCTTGACAGCAAAATTTATACACGCTTTTAGATATCATAGCTTACCTTGAATAAACTCTAGTGAGCTCTGCAATTTTGGCTAGTCTCATATACACTTACTCTTGAATTTTCAACACTCTGAGTGGAATCGAAACAAATTTAAGAATAGAATTTCCCCGATGACGGATTTTGCTGACTCATAGCAAAGAATAGAGAAGATGTCATTGAGACGTAATTTAATTAATTTCACTGGTAAATTGACTCTGAACATCGGTTTCACAAACGCTGCACCACCTTTTTGGCACAAACGCTTCGGGCAAAAGTTAAAGCGACGAATTGTGAAGGTTGTTCCAGTGGGGTCAAAGCAATGGACCACAATTTGATGACCTAATAGGCTCAAGTGTTCAGTTAAATTAAGGCTCATGCGATTTCTTGATCTTAAATCGATTATTCTACCCCTTTCGCATGATTAAAACGCATTTCCTCTTAATATGGGAATGATTGCCTTATTCGAAGAGATCAGTTAACCTTGATGACTATCTTACGCAAGATATGGCATGCAGATTGATGGCAAAATTAATTGATGTGGTTAAATCATCGAAGCAATTCCGGAAATATTCCTCCCCCCCCCAAACTTCCAAGGAGGCCGATCAAAAATATCTACGCCGAAAAATACCAGGCAGTAATAAAACGAATAAGCGCAAAGCGTGAAGCCTTTCCCTCTTTTTTACGGAGATAGCTCTTAATACATACATACACACACATCTTGGGGAGGGCACGCACACAAAATATCAGGGTCTATTGCAAATAAAGCCAGTGGAATACAACAGAGTTCTCGAAGCACACGAGAAGGAATGATACCAATGCACTAGATTGGCAAGATATGTCACGTTTAATCTACTAATCTCCCTCATGAGAGAGAATGAGGTAAATGGAGCAAAATTGTGAGGCAAAAGGAGACGCAGTCGAGAGTGAAATATTTGCCACTTAAGTGGAGAAAGAATTAAGCATGCCCGCTGGTAGATTGCACATCTGGAAGTCATTCAGCGAATATGCGCTTGATATTACAGCAATAATTGGTCAACAAAGCAGCCAATCATCTCCTAAAGGTAACCAAATCTATAAGCCCACATGCAATTCTTTACAATCGTCTTTTAATCGACACCCATTCTTTCTTTGTCGGTCTGATCAATTGT